CCCACGACACCGCAGCAAACAGACCCAGCTGAGCTCTTTCTGCTGGCTCAGCCACGCAGAAACACAGCTCCCGCTTCGCTTCCTCGCGGGAAGTAGTGTGAAGGCGGCAGTTCCGCACCAGGCAGGCGGGAACAGTCTCCCACCGCCTCTGAATTTGCAGTAGGTGCAAACAAGCCTGCTCCCTTCCAGGCAGGAGCAGAGACCCTGCGCAGGACAGGAGGGTCACAGCTGCCTCACTCCTCTCTTCTGAGAAGCAGGTACAACCGTGTTTTATCCGTTCAAGCCATGCCGTCCCCAGTCCCTCGACAGCAGCACTGGGAAGCAAGACGCTCAGAGGCAGAGGTGATTTCTAAATCCGCTTGGGTGGCTGCCAGCTATTTCAAGTCGGGCTGATTTCTGCGTGCCTTTAGCAGCGTTTTCAGGGAGGGGGTTTTGTGGTTTGAAGCTCTCTGTTTCCTCCAGCTGACAATCCCCCCAGCCCCTCTCTTCTGTACACCCCAAGGAAAAGGCAATGGAAATCTTTAATGAAAATCACTTCCAAAGTTCTCGGAGATGAAAAGGGATGCAGGGAGAAGAAAGCTTAAGCCAGAAAAACTAAAGTGGAAAAACTGATCCATTAAAGCAGCGGATGCGATCAGGGACGCAAGCAATTTCCTGCAAGCCAGCATAGCCAGACGCGTTTCTGCTAAAGCAGATCTGTCTTGACTTCTGCGTGGCTTTCCCCTCTACCTGGGCTCCCGCAGCCCAGCTCGACAGCTCTAATGGTGCCATCCGCTCTAGTGACCTATTAGCTGCCACCTGCTCGGGACGCAGCCACGGCAGATTTGCCATTGTGTAAGCAGCAGCAGCAAACATAAAACCCTAAATAAATCTTCAGCCACTGTGGAGCGATATAATTAATCACAGGGTTTTTCACGAGCCAGCAGCAGGAAGGTGAACGCAGAAGGCACGGCTGTGGTACGGTTCCGCTGCCTGCCCCCACCCTGTCCTGCCAGGGAGGACACAGGAGCCAGGGATCAAGAGGCAAGGCAGCGGCTGGAGTCAGAGTCGAGGTCAAACCCCGTTTCACCGCTCACTCATTTCTTGACCCCGAGCAAGCGACTGTCTCCCCAGCGTGCTTCGTTTGGGCACACCCTTCATCAGCAAATAAGCAGCACTCTCAGCCAGCATTTGCAGAGGTTAAGACTGCTCCAAGCCTGCTACCCACTATGCTGAACTTGCAGCTTTTCCCTTTGCCACATTTCCTCTGATTCTGGCCCAGACCCGCTAGCACAGAGCGAGAGCAGAAGAGAGACGTCAAAGGAAGAAACAGAAGGCAACCTTGACAGCCTGTCCCTGGTTCATCAGCAGAAGCAAAAGGAATAGCTTGGCCCTGGGAGAAATCTCTTACCATCTCCACTTCAGCAAGACCCCAGGGACTCCTGGGGACACTTGAACTCACCAGGATCCCAGAAGCGGCAGGTTAGGAGCCAGCAGGACATCTCCGGAGGGAGCGGACAGATGCCTTAGCCGAGCCCTCCGCTCCTCCTCCCTTGCATCCCCCCTCATCCAAGGACAGCGGTCAACGTGAAGGTGTCCTCCTTCAGAAAGAGCGGCACGGACCTCGTCTGTGGAGACAGAGACAAGAAAAAAGTTCTTCTTTCCTGCCATTGAACAGGAGCCAAACTAGACTAAAGCACAAATCCCAAAGGCCACTTTGGAGCTGAAGTGCCCCTGTTCACCCTGAGCCCCCGAGATCAGCCCACCCGAGACGAGCCTCCTCTTCCTCCCTTACTTCAGTCCCACTCCCTGCTCTTTGGATGGCTGCCACCTCTCCTGCTCTGACCAACTGCTGTCTCTCCGAGCAACACTGAAGCACTGCTGAGCAGAAGCCCTCAGAAAGGGGAAGAAAAAAAAAAAAATTATATATATGTATTCAAGCCTTTGAGCCATGCTTTTAATATTTCCCGCCCGAGCCCTTCTGCCCCGGCACCGCTCAGCGGTGGTCAGGCGGTGGGGTGGCCACAGAGCCGGCAGCACAGCGGGGACAAGGCGCCGAGGGGCCGGGCGGGCTGCTCAGGAAACCATAAAATTCAAGACGGATCCAAGTAGTGCAGAGAAACCCTGCACCGAGCTCCACGGGGCCACCCAGGCGCCCCAACGGACCCACTCTCGTGGAAGAAACTTGTTTGGGAAAGGTGACAGGTCAGCAGCCACTGGGTCACGCTGACTAACAGCTGTCAATCACTGCCATCAAGTTCTGTCTCAAAGCCAGATGCTATCCCAGCCCCACGCAAACTATGCATCAAGCACCGTCTGTGCCAAACCAGTTTTTATTTTAAATTTAATGCCTGTATTTTGGCTTTAAATTATTCTGCAGGCTCACTCAGTTCAGCAGCGCTCCCTCGTCTAGACAGAACAATCTTGTTGTCAGTGAAACAGATTCGCCCTGACATCCCCGTGGCGCGCGGTGATGCGGTTGCTATTTTGGAGGAAGGAAGAGAGCGAGAAAGCTCTTTCTCTTCCAGTTCTGAAACGTGATTCCTGTCCACCTAACTTCAAACACACACCTCAAGAAATAATCCCGCCATGTTTGATTTGATCGCTCCCTCTGTTGGGAAGCGGAACGGATGGAGAAAGGGGAAATAGCTCGGCATCTGTGGGATCGCAGCGCTGCCCTCCTGGAAGGGAGGGATTCCCTCCTCTCCTGCTCCGGCTTTTAAACCTGCCTGCTTTGGCTCTCTCCTCCAGACCGCAGACCGAGGGTTGGGGCGTGGAGACCTCATGGTACCCCATCTGTGACACCAAGGTCCCTGGCCTGGTCATCCGTGGCTGTGGGACACACCTCGGATGACTGGCAGGAGGGTGCAGGAGAGACAGCAGCAGCCTGAAAGAGACATTAAACCAAGTCAAAATACATTTTGCATATCAGCTTTGCCCCCAGGTCTCTGCCAGCGTGTGAGAGACTACAAAGGCTTCCTTTATAATTAGACAAGCACTTCTCCTTGTGAAAAACCTGCACAAAGGCAAAGGTAAATCAGAGGCGGTGTGTGGCAGCGCTTCGTGTCTAGTCAGCCCTGCTGCAGCCTGCCGTACTCGGAGAGGGAAAACAGCCTGATCAAACCAAAAATCATATTCTTCCCCTTTTGCTCTGCCAGTGACAGATCCTTGGTGTTTGCAAGTGACAAATACCAGTTGGGAATCTTTTCATCTCCTCTTCTGCTAACACAGCCACCCGCCCACCCAACGCGCGGCACGGCAGTGGGGAGGTGATCTCTGCCTTGCATGAGGCATCTCCCCGGGGGAACGCACAGCCCCCCCAAACCAAGCCCGCGAGGAGCTGGACACCCACACTTAATCACACAGGAACAGAGGCTTCTCCATCACAGCAAGCTGAAGGTCAAGAGTTCAGCCCCGAGGATGCCTCTTGAGGTGCCTGTGGCGAGGTGGGGATGGAGCAGAGGCCGAGCGCACCGATGGGCACCCCTATGGGGTGGCAAAGGGCCATGGGACGCAACTGATTTTATTCCCCTACAGACCTCCAGGAGCTGCCCAGTTCAAAGCAGACTGCATCAGCACACCTGCATTAACATTTAATCCCAGTGCTAGAGCATCATGCAATAAATCAGCTGCAAATGGACTATACCGAGGAAGAGACACTTGCCTCTCAATGTTCAAGCAGAAAAATGCTTCCATGTATCCAAATAGGGAAAAATAAATTGGGAAGCAAGAAGGATTTGCTTTTTGCACAGGCACGGCTGTCCATCAGCGTAACGGGAAGAGCTACACAGGAGAGCTGCCTCAGGCCACCTCCACACACTGCTTTCCCACCCTCCACAGCATTTCCAGCCTCATGGATTCACCGCTGTTCTCACCTCCGTGCAGGCAACCCGCCCACAGGAGTGACCAGAAATCTTCCCCCTCCCCGGGAGCAAGCCAGCTCTGTCCTTCGGGAAAATCCTCCCTGGGTGCTCGCTTCTGCTGGCGAGGTCCCGGCCGTGCAAGAGCCAGCAGAGCTGCTCCTCAGGAGCAGCCATCGGCACGGCCACCACCAGCCAGGAACTGCCGTGCAGCAGACG